ACAGCTCACAGCAACCTCCAACTCCTGGGCTCAAGCGAGTCTCCTGCCTCAGCCTCCCAAGTAGCTGGGACCACAGGCACCCGCCACAGCGCCTGGCAATTTTTTGGTTGCAGCCATCATTGTTGTTTGGCGGGCCCAGGCTGGGGATTCGAACCTTGGGTGTATGTGGCTGGCGCCCTAGCCCCTTGAGCCACAGGCGCCGAGCCAACTATTCCATTTCTTACACAACTCGCTGTAACAACTATTCCATTTCTTACATTATTAAGGCTATATGTTTTAGGATAAATTTTCAACTAATACCTTTATTTTGCTGTTGAAGATAACTACACTGTGGCTTTTGTGAGCTTTTCTTTCCTGGTTAGACGGTCTGTTCCGGCACGGCAGGATGGATGAATGGTAGATGAGTGTGGGCGCCCAGTCATTCATACAGAACCGTCCTCCCAGGCCTGCTCACGTGTCCCTGTTCCCTCCACAGTGCCCACCCTAGAGCCTCCTGAGCCATCGGACTCCACCACCTACAAGAACCTCCAGCATCATGACTATAGCACGTACACCTTCTTGGACCTCAACCTGCACCTCTCCAAATTCAGGATGCCTCAGCCCTCGTCAGGACGACCATCGCCTCGGCACTGAGAGCCCTCGGTGTAAAGATGAGTTTGCGTCATCTTTGCTTGCACTCTTGCCTACAAAAATAAAAGCCACTCAAGAGTCACAAAGCCCAGTTTGTATAATTGGTTTCCCTTTGCACTTTTGGTAGTGAAAGGTGAATCAGGAATCCCATTGATGGTTTTCATGTATTTAGCAATAGCTACCGTGTGTAAGGAATTTTGCTTTATAAGGTTATGACTAACTAGGCAAATCCTCAAAACTAGAGAAGTTCAAATGCTTTCGAGCAGTGTAATTCTGTGCAGAGCCCAATTTAGTATTGAACTAATTAACAGCTAACTATCAATAAGTGTAGTAGTGACTTCTCATTTTATAGGTCTAGTTGTTGGGTTTTTGTTTTTGTTTTTTTGAGACAGAGTCTCACTATGTTGCCCTTGATAGAGTGCTGTGGCGTCACAGCTCACAGCAACCTCAAACTTTTGGGCTTAAGCAATTCTCTTGCCTCAGCCTCCCAAGTAGCTGGGACTACTGGCGCCCACCACAACACCCAGCTATTTTTTGTTGTTGTCATTGTTGTTTAGCAGGCCCAGGCTGGGTTCAAGCTCCCCAGTCCCAGTATATGCGGCCAGTGCCCTAACCACTGGAGCTATGGGCGCCGAGCCTATAGGCCTACTTTTTGATAAATAAGAAATAGCAGTTTTATTTTAATTACTATATCACAAAGGAATGGTACTAAATTATAGTGTTTTATTGTCAGAAAAGAACAGAATTATTTTGTTGCCTCTATTAGGTATTTGATGTACACCTGGCAATTTTTCAGTAGTAAGATTAGGAAGAGGTGGAAGTTGTGTACAGTCCAGCCCCGGCTCTGCCCCCAGATGGCCACAGGAGGCTCTGAACTAATTTAGCTGTTCAGGGTTTCGGGGGTGGCCAAGTAATCTTCCCTCACGGTGATGACTTGGCTTTGCTCACACCTTCAGGGTGGTGAGCAGTCTGCAGGGGAAAGTCCCCATCTCCCTGGGACAGAGGTGGGGTGAGGACTCCGCCGACTGAGTGCGGAGCAGCCGCTTGGTTCGGCAGAGGCCTCCTCGGCAAGGTGTGGCTTCCCTCCTTTTTGCGGTATTGTCCTCACGCTCCCTTTCATGGACTTGTTCATGGGCCCAAACTTGTGGGTTTATATCATTTACATTCTGGTCCTTGGCCTCCAGTCAACTTAGAACAAACTCAACACATTATACTTGTAACTTATGATTCATATTTTTATAATCCTACATTTCTTAAAATTAGTCCAAAAAGGAAAACCAAAATTAAAAATGTATTATAATCATCTGCATCAGATTTTGTTACCGCCCAAGAGACTTAGCAACTCAGCAAGATTATCCTAAACACATTGTTCATTACAAAAGTAATAAAACCATATTACTCAAAAGAAAGAAACAGAAAACAGTGGTGATATATAAAAGCCACTCTGCTAACCCAGCCACTGTCACCGTTTCTCACTCTCCCCAGCAGGGGGATAATGTATGTGTAGCTTTTGTCCTGCTGTTCACATTTTTTAGTTTTGTCTTTTAATTCCTTCCCATAGTGGGGTCTGGAACCCCGTTTTGTGTGGTGATTTGCTGGGGGGTGTGAAGCCCAGTATCCTGGAGTATTGATGCCATCGAGTTGAGAGTCTTTTGATATTAAAATGAGTGTGATGAGAATGAATATATTTTAATACATATGTTTGTAACTTGAAGCAGGAGACTCAAAGTTCTTCATTAGAGCTGGTCTGGTTGGGTTGGTCTTTCAGCCTGGGGGCTTGGCTCTCGCCCTCACCCACTGGGAGGGTGTGGCCGGACCCAGCCCCAGCCCCGGCCCCAGGGCAGTCTGTTTTCACCAAGGCTGATGACTTCCTGATGCTCCATCTGGTGGCAGCATGGGGCTTACCCACAGAGTCCATCCTTGGGGTCTCTGTTAGTTCCCAAGTTCTCTAAAAGAGCGGTGCCAGACACAGCAGTGGGACATGACTCACTGTGTGTTTTGTGATGTTTCCTTAGGGATGCCCACCAGTGGAGGCAGGGGTCAGGGACATGCAGAAACAGACTGTCCCTGACACCCAGTGGTGTGTGACTGTTAGATGCATTCCACAAACCGACTGGCTGAATCACAGAATGTGAACACTGCTCCTGCTTTTATTTCTCCTAGAGTTTTAAACCAGTTTAATACATCTGAGTTAAGTAATTATTTTACCTGCTTATGTATTTTTCCTGTCACCTGAACCTCAGCACCTTTCTGGACACTCGCTCCCTTGCACCCGGTACAAACGCCCTGGGACCGGAGGAGCTGGCTGTAAGTCAGATCCAGCCCTTGCTAATCACAGGTTCTTGCCCTGACGTCCCAGGCAGCTGGCTGGTAACTGACAAGCAGCAGATGATGGGGCTCCTCTAAATCTGCTTCCAGGCGCCTGCTTTGTGTCTTAAGAGCTTATGTCCTGCCAGTCTCAACTTGCGGTCAGAACCCTGGGACGTGCTCATTGGGTTACAGCTCACCACCCAAAGGTATCTGACCATGGCCCCAAGCCTTGCCCAAACAATCAAAAGTTTGTAAAATGAGCTCAACACAGACTTTACTACACCCTGCAGGGAAGATGCCTGGGCTCCGAGTTACACAAGATTGGCTTGTTCTGTCAAAGCTGGCCAGCAGGCTCTCTGTAAACAGGCTAGATAGTATGTGGCTTTGCAGGCCACATAAAATCTCTGCAACACAGTCTTTTTTAAACAATCCTTTCAAAATATAACACAAAAGGGGACAGTGAGCAGGGTTTGTCTGTGAGCCACAATTTGTCAGCCACCACATTAGAGAGGCCACTGGGGGGATTTTAACAATAAAAGGGCTGGCCAGAGATAAGGCTGAAACTAGCAGCTATGTTAGGAGTTTGCTCCCTCCATCCAACTTCTCTCCCTGACTCTCCTCCCCTCCCCCTTTGCCTTTATTCTAGAAGGGATCTGAAACACTGGGGTATAGAAGATTAACAATAGCTAAAGCAGGGTTCCTTCTAGAGTAATTCTCACTCTAGTAAGCCTGTGCTAAAGGTTATTTTAAATGCCAGTAGGTAACAGCTTCAAAGATGAAGACAGGAGGCCCAGGACAGGAATTCACACGTGACGTGGCGGGGTGAGCAAAGTGGGAGCTGAGAGCCGTGGGGAAGAAATGAAGGTGGGTATTTATCAGAAACGGTTTTCTGGCCAGCGCGATGGCTCACGCCTGTAATCCCAGCACTCTGGGAAGCTGAAGTGGGCGGATTGCCTCAATTGAGGAGTTTGAGGTCAGCTGGAGACAGAGTGAGACCTCGTCTCCACCAAAAACAGAAAAGTGGCTCAGCACCTGTAGCTCAGTGAGTAGGGCCGGCCACGGGTTAGAGCCTGGCCTGGGCCTGCTAAACAACAATGAATAACTGCAACAACAACAACAAAATAGCCAGGCATTGTGTCAGGCACCTGTAGTCCCCACAACAGATTGGTTTGTTGTGTTAAAGCTGGCCGACAGGCTTTCTGTAAAGCCTGAGGAGGCTGAGGCAAGAGAAATGCTTAAGCCCAAGAGTTTGAAGTTGCTGTGAGCTGTGACACCACAGCACTCTGCCAAGGGTGACATAGTGAGAGTCTTGTCTCAAAAAAAATAAAAAGCCAGCTAAAAAAATCAAAACAGAAAAACTAGCTAGGCATCATAGCCAGTGCCTGTGGCCCCAGCTACTCGGGATGCTAAGGCAAGATGATGGTTTGTGCCCAGGCATTTGAGGTTGCTGTGAGCTGTGATGATACCCTGACACACTATCCAGGGCAACAGAGTGAGACTTTATCTCAAAAAATAAACAGGGCAGAGCCCGTAGCTCAGTTAGGGCGCCAGGCACATACACCAAAGCCTGGCGGGTTTGAACCTGGCGTGGGCCAGCTAAAACAACAATGACAACAGCAACAAAAATATAGCCGGGTGTTGTGGTGGGCGCCTGTAGTCCCAGCTACTTGGGAGACTTGAGGCAAGAGAATCGCTTAAGCCCAAGAGTTTGAGATTGCTGTGAGATGTGACAACACAGCACTCTGCCCAGGGCAACAGCTTGAGACCTTGTCTCAAATAAATAAATAAAATAAATACACATAAAATGAAAACTAAACCATAATTTGAAAAACTATTGGTACCCATGCACACAAAAGCGTGAGGGTGCAGCTTTCCCCAGCAGAGTGGGAGAGAGAATGCAAAATACTGATAATTTTTGACACTGGTGATGTGCGTGTGGGGGTTCATAATTCTGCTCTCTCTACTCTTTGTTGGGAAACTTTTATAATAAAAAGAAAATTTTAATAATCAGGCTAATAGGCTCAGCTCCTATAGCTCAACCGGCTAAGGCGCCAGCCATGTACACCTAAGGTGGCGGGTTCGAATCCCCAGCCCGGACCTGCCAAACAACAATGACGGCTGCAACCAAAAAACAGCCGGGCGTTGTGGCAGGCGCCTGTGGTCCCAGCTACTTGGGAGGCGGAGGCAAGAGACTCGCTTGAGCCCAGGAGTTGGAGGTTGCTGTGAGCTGTAATGCCACGGCACTCTGCCCAGGGGAACAGCTTGAGGCTCTGTCTCAAAAAAAAAAAAAAAAATAATAATAATAATCAGGCTAATAATGTGTAGAATGGAATAGGGAAGGAAAAAGCTTGAGGCAGAGGACACTGCAATTCCCCTAGGCAAGGGGTATCAGGCTGCTGAGCTCAGGGTTGGCACCTCAGCAGGGGCCCAGGTAACTCAGAGCTTCTGAGATCACAGCCAGACTGTCCCTAGGAAAGACCAGCACAGTTTACGCCATTCCAAGAGTCTCTGAACACGGCACCCCTCTCACCCCGGCCACCATGGGTGCCTCAGTCTCATGTTGGTTAATCTGATAACTTACTTACTGTTGGTGTGATAAGTATATTTTCTCCAGCCTTGGAGACATAAAAAGCAAGTTGCTTTGCTAATAAAGCTGTGTGTCTCTAAATAGTATTTCATATGCTCTTTCAATTCTTTGAGACAATTTTTCGTTTTAAGAAAATGTTCGTGGGTGGCACCTATGGCTCAAGGAGTAGGGCACCGACCCCATGTACCG